GAAATAGCAAGCATCAAACTTAAGCTAAAAGAATCCTTTAGGAGTCAGAATCGCGGGAAGAACTAAAAGCCAAAAAATGAAATCGAAAGAAACCCAAAGTATTTCTTCTCCTATGCCAAATAAAAAATCGAGAACAACGCCCCAGTTTTGGGGGGGGCCCTACTTAAACAAGATGGGTCCTACACAGACGACAGCAAGGAAACGAGTGACTACTCAAGTCCCAATATGACTCAGTTTTTAGCAAGCCCGCTAACCAGACTGAGAGTCGAAGATCAAAATTAATTTTTTATGAGAGAGCCACAAAATTTGATTAACACAAGCCTATCCGATGTTATCCTGACGCCAAATGACTTCGAACAGGCGATAAATGACATGCTCATGCACTCTGCCCCAGGGCCAGACTCATGGAACTCTGTGTTCATTAAGAACTGCAAGAAGCCCCTACCCACGAGCCTTTTCCATCCTATATAGAGGGAGAAATGGACACGGGGGTCGTCCCTCAGTTACTAAAAACAACAGACATAGCCCCACTCCCACAAAGGGGGCAGTAAAGCAACAGCAAAGAACTACAGACCAATAGCACTAACATCCCATATCATAAAAATCTTGAAAGGGGCCTAAGAAGCAAGATCACCACCCATCTAGAAACCCATCAGTTACACAACCCAGGGCAACATGGGGGTTTTGAACAGGTCGCTCCTGTCTGTCCAACTAAATTGGATCACTACGACAAGGGCCCTAAATGCACTAGAAGACAAAAAGAATGCAGATGTAAATATACAGACTTTGCAAAAGCCTTCGACAAGTGTGACCATGGCGTAATAGCGCACAAAAAACGTGCTAAAGGAATAACAGGAAAAGTCGGTCGATGGATCTATAATTTCCTCACTAACAGAACACAGAGAGTAGTCGTCAACAGAGTAAAGTCCGAGGCAGCTACAGTGAAAAGCGCTGTTCCACAAGGCACAGTACTAGCTCCCATCTTGTTCCTCATCCTCATATCCGACATAGACAAGGATGTCAGCCACAGCACCGTGTCTTCCTTTGCAGATGACACCCGAATCTGCATGACAGTGTCTTCCATTGCAGACACTGCAAGGCTCCAGGCGGACATCAACCAAATCTTTCAGTGGGCTGCAGAAAACAATATGAAGTTCAACGATGAGAAATTTTCAATTACTCAGATATGGTAAACATGAGGAAATTAAATCTTCATCAGAGTACAAAACAAATTCTGGCCACAAAATAGAGCGAAACACCAACGTCAAAGACCTGGGAGTGATTATGTCGGAGGATCTCACCTTCAAGGACCATAACATTGTATCAATCGCATCTGCTAGAAAAATGACAGGATTGGATAATGAGAACCTTCAAAACTAGGGAGGCTAAGCCCATGATGACACTCTTCAGGTCACTTGTTCTATCTAGGCTGGAATATTGCTGCACTCTAACAGCACCTTTCAAGGCAGGTGAAATTGCCGACCTAGAAAATGTACAGAGAACTTTCAACGGCGCGCATAACGAGATAAAACACCTCAATTACTGGGAGCGCTTGAGGTTTCTAAACCTGTATTCCCTGGAACGCAGGAGGAGAGATACATGATTATATACACCTGGAAAATCCTAGAGGGACTAGTACCGAACTTGCACACGAAAATCACTCACTACGAAAGCAAAAGACTTGGCAGACATGCACCATCCCCCCAATGAAAAGCAGGGGTGTCACTAGCACGTTAAGAGACCATACAATAAGTGTCAGGGGCCCAAGACTGTTCAACTGCCTCCCAGCACACATAAGGGGGATTACCAACAGACCCCTGGCAGTCTTCAAGCTGGCACTGGACAAGCACCTAAAGTCAGTTCCTGATCAGCCGGGCTGTGGCTCGTACGTTGGTTTGCGTGCAGCCAGCAGCAACAGCCTGGTTGATCAGGGGCTGATCCACCAGGAGGCCTGGTCACAGACCGGGCCGCGGGGGCGTTGACCCCCGAAACTCTCTCCAGGTAAACTCCAGGTCCAGGTAAACACACTCCTCAGCATCCCCAACTACACACTCCTCAGCATCCCCAACTACACACTCCTCAGCATCCCCAACTACACACTCCTCAGCATCCCCAACTACACACTCCTCAGCATCTCCAACTACACATTCCTCGTCATCCCCAACTACACACTCATCAGCATCCCCAACTGCACATTCCTCAGCATCCCCAACTACACATTCCTCAGCATTCCCAACTGCACATTCCTCAGCATCCCCAACTACACATTCCTCAGCATCCCCAACTGCACATTCCTCAGTATCCCCAACTACACATTCCTCAGCATTCCCAACTGCACATTCCTCAGCATCCCCAACTACACATTCCTCATCATCCCCAACTACACACTCCTCATCATCCCCAACTACACATTCCTCAGTATCCCCAACTACACATTCCTCATCATCCCCAACTACACACTCCTCATCATTCCCCCAACTACACATTCCTCGTATCCCCAACACACATTCCTCATCATCCCCAACTACACACTCCTCATCATCCCCAACTACACACTCCTCATCATCCCCAACTACACATTCCTCATCATCCCCAACTACACACTCCTCATCATCCCCACCTACACATTCCTCGTCATCCCCAACTACACATTCCTCGTCATCCCAAACTATCCAGTCTAACAACTTTTTGCTTCTCCTTCTGCAGTTGCACAAAGGAAATCTCTCTCACTTTATGACAATGTTGCTTTCCAGAAAAACTTTTAAGGTTGTTTTTTTTTAAAATAACAACCACTATGTAAGTAGTCATAATAAAGTGAATTACATTTTATAATAGATTTTAATTATATAACTGAAAACATGTTCCTCTGAAAGAAAGTTGCAAAATTCTCTAGTTTTCTTATTAAAACTGCATTTCTGTGGTTACCTTGTTATCTTGATGACTTGTGAAATATTTGTTCTCCACTCCTCTTATGTCTCTCACTCTAGTATGTTGTTATGGCAGTGTGCACTTCCCTGTATATATTATCATGTGCCTCTCTCTCTCTGCTCTTAACTGGATCAGAATTAGGTATGACAAAGGTTGTTATGACCTGCAGACAGGACTGATTTAACCCTTTCACTGTCGCGGCCGTATATATACGTTTTACGAGGTGCCGTGTTTGACGTATATATACTCATAAATTCTAGCGGCTTCAAATCAAGCAGGAGAAAGCTGGTAGCCCCACATGTGAGAGAATGGGTCTGTGTGGTCAGTGTGCAGCATATAAAAAAAAAACTTGAACACGCAGTGCATAATGAGAAAAAAAATACTCCGACCGTTTTTTTTAATTAAAATGCCGACTTTGTGGTCTATTTTCGTATAGTATTTATGGTTGTATTCTCGTTTTCTTGGTCTCATTTGATAGAATGGAAAACATATTACAGAAATAGAGGTGTTTTTGATTGATTTTACTATAAAAAGAACCTAGAAATGGAGCTCAAAGTAGGGGAAATGTTTGATTTTTACCAATGTTCAAAAGTAAACAAATGATGCCATTGTTTCCCAAAAAATGTCCAACTAGCCATCTAATATGCAGTCATGAATGGGTTTTATGTTATTTATACAGTTATACAGCATTGCAGTAGTCTGCTAATAGTAAGCCCTAATATTTTTTGTTTGAATAAAAACCCAAAATAGAAAGCAAGAGTAATATCAGAGGGCCCTTTGAGACGTGACTGAGAACAAAGAAACGTTATTTAGAGCCAGGAATGTCTGCATTTTTCCATTCTGGACCTTATTCTGAATTTCCATATTTTTTAGTTTTGTGAATTTGGCAAATTGCAAAATTTCTGACCACATTATTAGTATTGAAATCAGTAAATGGCAGTTTCTTGTACTCAATCGATAGAAAAATGAAGTTCTAAAGAAATAGCATGATTTTGGGGGCGACGAACAATGAAATTACCCAAAAAAAAAATAGGGCTCAAAGTGGGCGAAATCGCCGATTTGTAAACAGCGCCGAGGTCGCTAACTTCGTGAGAGCATAATTCCGTCAGTTTTCCATCAAATTTCGTTTTTTTTGGTGTCATTACAATCGGGAAGAGATTCTCTATCATTTCATAAGAAAAATAATTTTTTTTTTTTAAATTTTGCGACACCAGGAGACACCTCAGGATTGGGGGTTGCGACAGTCAAAGGGTTAAGAGGCACATGCATTTTCCTGCCTCCTAATATCATGTTTATTTTTCCACTGTAATCTACCTGGTCCATAATTAGTATTGCTTTGTCTGGTTTGTAAGGTGAAGTCTGAGGTCAGAGCAAAGCTCACACCTCTGTAACACAATTGTCCTCTAAGATTTATTAAGTTATACCATAATTCAGGAAAGATCCTAGACTTCACCTTATGAAACAGACAAAGCAAGTGTGATAATGATTATGGACAAGGTAGATTATAGTGGAAAAATGAACATGTTATTAGAAGATGGAGGAACTTACATGTCTCTTAAGTTCCTGGGAGCTATTAGAAGATGGAGGAACTTACATGTCTCTTAAGTTCCTGGTGAGCTATTAGAAGATGGAGGAACTTACATGTCTCTTAAGTTCCTGGGAGCTATTAGAAGATGGAGAACTACATGTCTCTTAAGTTCCTGGGAGCTATTAGAAGATGGAGGAACTTACATGTCTCTTAAGTTCCTGGGAGCTATTAGAAGATGGAGGAACTTACATGTCTCTTAAGTTCCTGGGAGCTATTAGAAGATGGAGGAACTTACATGTCTCTTAAGTTCCTGGGAGCTATTTGTTAGGTTATTTATTCCTTAACCCTTTTAACTGTGAAACATTGAAATTCCCATTACTGCTAGCACTCCAGATGTTGACCAGTGCACTGTTTTTCCTGATTTCAAATTTGGCACCAGAGGCCTGATAGGCCTAGACAGTGTAGAATGGGTCTTAACTGCTGAGTCAGTCAACAGTGCACTTCACTGCTAAGTCAGTCAACAGCTTTACATTATACTTGACAGAATAAAGAGGAAGCTACGCCGGGAGGAGTCATTAGAAGCTCTCAAGAGTGAAGTGATGGACTCTGACACTCTCACTGAACAACACATAACCAAGAAACTGTAAGTATTCTGCTATAATTGTTCTGCTGTACTTTTAATTTACTCTACAACAACTTGGTTGACCAGGCAAACACCAGACCAGCCTGGCCCATGGTTGACTAGGCAAACACCAGACCAGCCTGGTCCATGGTTGACCAGGCAAACACCAGACCAGCCTGGCCCATGGTTGACCAGGCAAGCACCAGACCAGCCTGGCCCATGGTTGACCAGGCAAACACCAGACCAGCCTGGCCCATGGTTGACCAGGCAAGTCACCAGACCAGCCTGGCCCATGGTTGACCAGGCAAACACCAGACCACCGGCCCATGGTTGACCAGCAAACACCAGACCAGCCTGGCCCATGGTTGACCAGGCAAACACCAGACCAGCCTGGTCCATGGTTGACCAGGCAAACACCAGACCATCCTGGCCCATGGTTGACCAGGCAAACACTAGACCAGCCTGGTCCATGGTTGACCAGGCAAACACCAGACCAGCCTGGCCCATGGTTGACCAGGCAAACACCAGACCAGCCTGGCCCATGGTTGACCAGGCAAACACCAGAACCCAGCCTGGCCCATGGTTGACCAGCAAGCACCAGACCAGCCTGGCCCATGGTTGACCAGGCAAACACCAGACCAGCCTGGCCCATGGTTGACCAGGCAAGACACCAGACCAGCCTGGCCCATGGTTGACCGGCAAGCACCAGACCAGCCTGGCCCATGTTGACCAGGCAAACACCAGACCAGCCTGGCCCATGGTTGACCAGGCAAACACCAGACAACCTGGCCCATGGTTGACCAGGCAAGCACCAGACCAGCCTGGCCCATGTTGACCAGGCAAGCACCAGACCAGCCTGGCCCATGGTTGACCAGGCAAGCACCAGACCAGCCTGGCCCATGGTTGACCAGGCAAACACCAGACCAGCCTGGCCCATGGTTGACCAGGCAAACACCAGACCAGCCTGGCCCATGGTTGACCAGGCAAACACCAGACCAGCCTGGCCCATGGTTGACCAGGCAAACACCAGACCAGCCTGGCCCATGGTTGACCAGGCAAACACCAGACCAGCCTGGCCCATGGTTGACCAGGCCAAACACCGACCAGCCTGGTCCATGGTTGACCAGGCAAACACCAGACCAGCCTGGCCCATGGTTGACCAGGCAAACACCAGACCAGCCTGGCCCATGGTTGACCAGGCAAACACCAGACCAGCCTGGCCCATGGTTGACCAGGCAAACACCAGACCAGCCTGGCTCTTGGTTGACCAGGCAAACACCAGACCAGCCTGGCCCATGGTGACCAGGCAAACAACCAGACCAGCCTGGCCCATGGTTGACCAGGCAAACACCAGACCAGCCTGGCCCATGGTTGACCAGGCAAACACCAGACCATCCTGGTCCATGGTTGACCAGGCAAACACCAGACCAGCCTGGCCCATGGTTGACCAGGGAAACACCAGACCAGCCTGGCCCATGGTTGACCAGGCAAACACCAGACCAGCCTGGTCCATGGTTGACCAGGCAAGCACCAGACCAGCCTGGCCCATGGTTGACCAGGCAAACACCAGACCAGCCTGGCCCATGGTTGACCAGGCAAACATCAGACCAGCCTGGCCCATGGTTGACCAGGCAAACACCAGACCAGCCTGGCCCATGGTTGACCAGGCAAACACCCGACCAGCCTGGCCCTTGGTTGACCAGGCAAACACAGACCAGCCTGGCCCCCGGGTTTACCAGGCAAACACCAGACACCTGGCCCATGGTTTGACCAGGCAAACACCCGACCAGCCTGGCCCATGGTTGACCAGGCAAAAAACCGACCCCTGGCCATGGGTTACCAGCAAACAAAAGACCCCCCTGGCCTTTGGGTTTACCCCGCAAACACCGACCAGCCCGGCCCATGGTTGACCAGGCAAACACCGACCCGCCGGCCCAGGGTT